AGCTGATGGATGTTTCTCTCTCATCGATGTTTCTAACTCTCTATCCCTCTCCCTTCCTCTCTGTAAAAACTCAATAAAATATATATTTTTTAAAAAAATGTCACCTCCTCTGAGTCCTCCCAGCCCACTGCAGCTAAAGCAGTGCCCTCCACCATATGACCTTCCTGTCTCTCCACAGCGCCTCGGAAGGGGACAGTGATGTGAAACCCATTTATTCTCTGGCCCCCACCTCATGGTCTGGTGGACACGGCCCATTTCTGCCCAGCCCAGAGCAGGCTGACCCACCGGGCGCCCTCCTGTCTATTTCAACCTCTACCCAGGGCCTCGGATTTCCAGAACTGCCCTGTCGTCCCTGCTCTTTGTCCACAGGGTGCAGTATCACAAACCTTAGGGAGCCGGGCCGGCCAGGGCCAGGGTGTGCTCTAGCGCTCACCCCCAAGATGCGGGCCATCGGACGCGCCTCCCGCTCCTCCCTCCTGGCCTTGAGCAGCCCTGGCAGGCCGGGCACTCCCTGCTAGACTCGGGGGAGTCCAGAGGCCGGGACCTGCTCTGACTCCAGGGGGAGCACTCAGCTGGGACCTGCTGAGCCCTCTGCAAAGCTGGTGCCAGCTGCAAAGCTCTTCCAGGAAGTGTTTGTTCCCTGGAGTCAGTGAGCACGCCCCTGCCTGGTGAGGACAGGGGTAGAGGCCGCCTGGTGGGGGAGGGAGCCGTGGGGGAGGGAGGCGTAGAAGGAAGAGCCCCAGCTCAGGGCAGGGCAGGGCTGCTCTCTAGAGGAGGTGGTGTTAGTTGAGTGTTAATGGAGAGATGGGAGTCAGCTGGGGGGAGCGTGCGCGGCGCAGGTGCAAAGGTCCCTGCGAGAAGGGCAGGTGTGTGGAAACTGCATGCAGGTGGACTTCCTGGGTGAAGCGGCTTGTGGGTTAGGCCGGGGTTTGGCCTCTAACCCACGGTGATCCATAGCAGGGCAGTGGCCTCGGGGCAGGTCTGCGCTTTAGAAATTCCAGCGAGCCCTGGCAATGCATTTCATCGGGAGGCAGATTAGAGGGGGCAACACGGGTCAGGAAAACCAGTTAGGAGATGACTGCACGACCTGAAGGAAGACTGGAGTCCTGAACGAAGGCAGAGGGGAAAGAGGGCTCATCTGGAGATAACACGGTAACGGGAGGAGGCTACAGGGCTGTCATAGTCAGACTCCACCATGGGTCTTGGGCAGGTTATGCCTCAGCTTCCTCATCTGTAAAGTGGGGATGACAGTACTAGCACCTGTCTCAGTGTTGGTGGATTATAGAAGGTACAAGCTTCAAGTAGAGCAGTGGTTCTCAACCTTCTGATCCTTTAAATACAGTTCCTCATGTTGTGACCCAACCATATAAAATTTTTCGTTGCTACTTCATAACTGTAATGTTGCTACTGTGATGAATCGTCATGTAGATATCTGATATGCAGGATGGTCTTAGGCGGCCCCTGTGAAAGGGTCGTTCGACCGCCGAAGGGTTCGCGACCCACAGGTTGAGAACCGCTGGAGTAGAGCTTAGCACGTCACCTTACTCAGGAAGTGCTAGCTATAATTATGGAGCTCAGAAAAAAGAAGAAAGGGCCTTGGCCAGTTGCTCAGTGGTTAGAGTGTCAGCCTGGGGACTGGGGTCATGGTTCAATTCCTGGTCAAGGGCAGGTACCTCCGTTGGAGGGCCTGTGCAGGAGGCAACCAATTGATGTCTCTCAAGTCAATGTTTCTCTCTCCCTCTCCCTCCCTTCTATTCTCTCTAAAAATCAATGGGGAAAAAATATCCTCAGGTAAGAATTAAAAAAAAAAAGGACTAAGATGACTCCCAGCATTCTAGTTTGGAAACCAGATCTACCATTCTCAAAAGTGTGGACCTCTGGGGATCCCAAAGACTCTTTCAGTGCGACACAAAGTCAAAACTATTTTCACAATAAAATTAAGACAACTGTTCGTTTTCACTGTGTTGACGTTGCTGTGATCATGCAAATGCAACCACTGGTGCCCTGGCATAAACCAAGGTGGTGGCTGCACACTATACCAGTAGCCACTGTATCACCACTGACCATTAAGGAAAAAAAAAAAGCCAGTTTACTGAAAAATGTTTCTGATGAGTAGTCCAGTGTTAAAATTTGGAAGAACCTTTTTTATAGAAATATTTTGGTTTAAGATGGATAATAAGCAAGTTTAATCAAATTTCTAAACATCTCCCATGCAGGAGAATTCCAAATAAATTCTGTAGTTATTTCACCCTAGAGGAGGCGCGAACTCCCCACTCCTTGGGTGTGGGCTGCACTGTGACTTCCTTCCAAAGAGTACAGCCTGGAGAGAGGTGGGAGCAACTTCACCATGGAGACGCCTGGCAAACAAACACTGGTGGCCAAGGCCAGCACCCACAGTCATAAACCATGCTGAGAGCCTGTAACCTCGACATGAAGTGATGAAAACGGCACTTTACCTCTGTAAAACCACGAGAAAAACATCAAAGTCCAATAGGAAGGCACCCTACAAAATCCTTGACCAGCCCCCTCAAAACTGTCACGGACATCAGACACAAGGAAAGCCTGAGAAACTGTCCCAGCCAAGAGGAACCTTAAGGAGACATGGCTTCTAAGGGTGGTGGTAAAAAGACAAGAGAGGGCCCTAACCGGTTTGGCTCAGTGGATAGAGCGTCGGCCTGCGGACTCAAGGGTCCCAGGTTCGATTCCGGTCAAGGGCATGTACCTTGGATGCGGGCATATCCCCAGTAGGGGGTGTGCAGGAGGCAGCTGATCGATGTTTCTCTCTCATTGATGTTTCTGACTCTATCCCTCTCCCTTCCTCTCTGTAAAAAATCAATAAAATATATTTTAAAAAAAGACAAGAGAGGAAAACTGAGGAAGTCTGAACAAAGTAAGGACTTAGTTTAATAATGCATCACCATTGGTCCACCTGGCAGTCCATGCAGCCCCTTAAGGTGAGATGTCAATAATGGGGGAACTGTGGGAAGGGGCAGCGGCGGGTGGAGGGGTGTATGGGAGCTCTGTTCTGCATGCTCCATTTCTCTGAAACTCTAAAACTTTTCTAAAAAACCCCCCACCAGTTTATTCATTAAAAAACCCCAACATTAATTGGGAATAATTCTACCATCCGCCACTCTAACCATGGAGAACGAAGTTTCATAATGGGATATGCTATGCGTCATTCAGTTCAGCAGCTACCGAGGTCTGACTGTGTCTGCCTCTGAACTGCTGGGCCCTGGCTATAGAACAGGGGTCCTCAAACTACGGCCCGCGGGCCACATGCAAATACAAATATTGTATTTGTTCCCGTTTTGGTTTTTTACTTCAAAATAAGGTATGTGCAGTGTGCATAGGAATTTGTTCATAGTTTTTTTTTTAAACTATAGTCCGGCCCTCCAACGGTCTGAGGGACAGTGAACTGGCCCCCTGTTTAAAAAGTTTGAGAACCCCTGCTATAGAAAGATGACTAACAGAGGCCCAAGGCCTCGCTGGAAATAGACATTTTACAAGGTAATTCTTGTCCTTGTGAGGTGAGCCTAACTGCAGAGAAGGGGACCTGGGAAGGCTTCACAGAGGAGGTGAAAATGCACGGAAGCAAGAAATAAGTGGGTTGGCCCTCATTTAAAAAAAACAAAACCTGTGCCTCTCAGAATGTTCCGGGTTCCCTCCCCCTTTTCTTCTGAAAGCGAAAGCACAGTGGAGACCAATAGCTGCTTTACCATGTGTGTTGACTTTGCATGTACAGTAGAGAAGTATATACTTTAGAAAATGCCCAAATGTCTAAAATGATTACAAGTACTATATAGGAATCTCATACATTTCAAAGTAAGTGAATTTTTTTTTATTGCTAAAAGTATTACAAAGGGTATTACATATGTGTCCTTTTTTTCCCCCCCTGCCCTTGACAATCCCCTGGCCTCCCTTACCCCCCAGTGTCTTATGTCCATTGGTTATGCTTATATGTAAGTGAATTTTTAAAGTGGGGTGATTGGTAAAAGAAGGAGCTAAACATGAACATATAAAAACACGAAACATTGAATGATGATGCCTAAAATAGAGACCCAAAAGGACAGCTACATGAACACAATCCTGAGAAACTGCAGTTTTATAACACACCTTTCTGTTTTATTCAGGACCCTTCAAATTACTTCTTAATTTCTATGGGTATAAACGAGGAACGGGAAGGGCAGGAGAGCCAGGAGCTAGCACTGCGCATGCTCCGTGGCAGCTACGTATGCAAGACAGTCTCTATGTACATTATGAAATGCCAACTTTAAAGCAACCCTTGAAACAAGCTGTTTTATCTTTTCTAGGGGAAACCCTCGCTCAGAGAAAGCCGGTACCTTGCAGCGGAGCAGGATTGTAACCTCAGGCAACTGACAGGTAAGCCCATGACCTGTTCAGTCTCGCTTGACCCCTGACCAGGTACATGCAAATGGCAGAAGTCACTCTGTTTTGGGGGTGTTTCTAACTTCTCCTTTTCTAAAGGTGCGTCCTCTTCACTTCATAGTCAAGGGCATGGACCAAAGTACACCTCTAATGCCTGTTTTCAAGTAATGGACTAGTTAGCCCGGTGCCGGGCACCCCGTACTCCAAGGTGAACCCTACAAATGTTCATCGCCATCGCTGGTGTTCGGTGCATTGGGATGGTCGAATCCACGCCCCCAGGTTACCGGTTCTGCTCATGTTCGGGGGGAGACCCCCCTTTTCTTAGTAACGTCAGGCTGTGAGATGTCTTTACAGGTTTACACCACGACCGCGACCGCGCCTGGAGGCACCTCCTCCCCGGGCGGGAGAGCCATCGCAAGCATTACAACCGCTAGGACGTTTCTTGGCACCGACGAGATCCTGGGTCCCTTCTGGTTCTGCCTGGGCAAGACTCTTACTCCTTCCACACGTGTAAATTTGGGACAAAAACACTCACTTTGCCAGCGTCACGAGGCTGTTGTCGGACACGAAAGAGGAAGCGGGGAAAAGGACTCAGCTGGCCCCAAAGCCCAAGAGCGCTCATCATCTCTAGGCTCGGAGGCCCGCACGGACCGCGACGCACAAAAGGCGCGGGGAGGGGACCCCGCGGGGAGAGGGAGGGG